ACCATCTGGACCTGCAGCCTTGTTCTGGTTCAGTCTCTCTAGCTGCCTCTTCACCTGACTTCTAGATACAGAAAAGTGGGAGGGAAAGAGAGCAGCGGCATCTCCTGATTTAGTTGAAGACAAACTTGTGGATGTAGAAGAAAAGTCCATGACTGAGGTTGAAGATCATCTGAGGTTTGACAGGAAAGCTGTGGGTCAAAGGAGGGTGAGATGTCTGTTTGGCTGGGGGCAGGAGAGGAGGAAGATGAGCTTGTTCCTGAGCTGAACCTGTTGAAGAATGTGTTCAGCTCATTTGCTCTGTCCAGACTTCCATCCATCCGATTCTCCTTTTGCTTGAAACCTGTCAACATAATTATTAGAGTGTGATTTATTTTCAACTCGAAATATCTTCAAACTAACGAAATATAAAGTTATTAGTGAAGAAAACCCGCCTGGATAACAGCAGACTGACTGCTCATAAAATATACGACAGGTCTGGACCACTGAATTTTGTTTCTATCTGAAGAAAATCGTAGAATATGAGAAAATTGGTGAATGCCACAAATTCTCCTAAATCACTCGTACGCACAACTTAAGAACAAATCTGTGCGTACGAACGGTTCTTGCATGAAGCCCATTGTTCCATATCTGACGTGTTGCGTGTCAGTCCCATATAATTTCTTTAGCATTTTAGCGTTAGTGAAGCAACATTTTTAGTTAGAGGGTTATGAGTTCGTGCAGCTAACTGTTGATTACCTGTGTGGACCGCTGGTTAGATGTAAAATAACGTTCATGTAAACACTGTTTTTGTGTTTTTCTTTTAATTTATTTCCTTAAAAACTATTTCATGTTTCCAGCTCATAAAAAAGCAGACGGATTTGATTTTTTTCTCATTAGTCTCATTAGATTCACTGCATTTGCCTGAAAATTTGACAATTTTCCACTACTTTGAATTTTCTCCTTTTTTTCCTCCAAAACCCAGAGGGATACTGCAGTGAGAGTGCGTTTCTCTTTACTTTTAGAAGATAAATTAAATGAAAAATAAAAAAGCAAGCTAATTAACAAATTTTAATTGCTTTTTGGTTCAACACATAAAATAATAAATCTAATTGGATTGTAGTCTTGATGCTCACGTTTGTTTGTCACAGTTGCTATAATTGCTGGTTTGATAATTAAATCAATATTGCAGCTCGTCATTCATGGAGCACTAATGTTGTAGGTTTAGTCTCTGAACTCTCGTTTTAATAATTCAGCTTTAACCACAGATCTGGGGACCACCTCAGTAATTGGTGAGCGTGTTAGTTAGTGGTTCATTTAGGCTCGATGGTGTGAACAAATGAGCTGAAAGAAAACGTTGCTGCTGAAGCTGTAGAGCTCCGGGTGAGGCCTCAACAAGTCAGTTAACTTTATATTTACTTGATTTTACAACACGGATGTCCCTTTGAAATTCAAATTGTGGAAAACTTTTATTCAAAGAAATATTTTCTGTTCATAAACGTTAGTGTTAATAATGACTGTGTATGTTATATCTTTATTAAATATAGTATTTAGATGTTTTTAGGGAGCATTAAAATCAGTTAAACCAGGTTAAAAAGGGTAAAGTGGATTCATATTGTTTTGTTTTCATCTTCAAACATTGATGGGCGTGCATGTGAGCATTCATGTCTCTGAGCAAACTGCTGTAAAAAGATCTTGAGATAAAATGAGAGAAAATGGAGGTTTTTGTTTCACTGGTGTACACTGCAACATTTCTGTACTCCTATAAGATTTAAAGCATATTAAATTTCTAATGAAGCATAAAAGTAAAGTTGTACTGAAGATAAAGGAAGGATTATTTACTGCAGACATAACTTGAAGTAAAAAGTATAAAAGTCTACAGGAATAGGAGGGCTTTAACCAAACTAAATATTATCTCTGTCAATTTAAGTGTCAGATTTGTTCATCCAGACCACCAGAGCTGGGCCTCATTTACAAAATAAAACTTCTGGTATCAGGAAGTGAAAGAAAATAAAGAGAATAGGAATATCAAAACGGAATAAAAGCAGTGAAAATAACAGAAATGGTAAATGAATGATGTGTCTCTGTCCTCATTAGGCTGCACTACTCTGATCCACATCCTGTTCATGCAGTTCAGCTGATGAGAGTGGGAAAGCTGCAGCATTACCTGGAGCACACTGAGGATGCTCTGGACACGTTCAAACAGGTGCTGTATATTATTAAAATCAGTTATTAGCCTTTCTTTATTTGCACTGAAACAGTTATTTAGTAAATGTTTATGTTCTGTAGTCACAGTTGGAGAATAGTTTCAGTGAAGCTCATCAGGGTTTTCTGCTTCGTCTGCAGGCCTTTAAAATCATGAAGGTCACTCATGGGGAAGATCACCCCCTGACCTTTGACCTGCAGATGAAGATGGAGGAGTGTCGCTGTGAGACAGATCACCAGTCGCCTGGCAAACATTAAGAAAGACATCAAACTGATAAAAAGAGTAGTATTTGTACATATTTTTACATTTTCTATCTGCAGTCACACAATAAATATCAACTTAAACTTTGAACTCTGAGTTTGATTTTTGGACAAAGGTTTTAACAAATGTATCTTATATATGTTGTAGGGGTCACCTCGAGTCAAATAATCAAGGAAACTATCGTGGACTCTCAGTCCTCTGATGGGCCTTCAAATGGACAAGAACTCTGTTCCACTTAGAACTGTATTTAGGCCACCCAAGGCCACTTTCCTTCTAAATCAGATAAAAACAGAAGAATCTTCTCTTATTTGATTTAGTTTTCTCTTAACTGAAAGTATTACRCATTTTGATAATCAGAGAATGTTTATCAAAGTTACAGGAGAAGAGAGGACAGATCTCTTTTCTCCCTCAGTATGATTTCAGCTATGTGTGGTTTTTCTGTGGGAAAAATTCTTATTTAACTAAAATAATCTTTATGGTTTAAGTTAATGAAATATCAATGTTTTACTTGTCTGAATCATATTTGCAAATGTTTTGAACTTGAAGCAATTAACTTTTCTTTCAGTAATGTTTTAAATAAGTACTCATCAGATAATTTAAATGGGTCATGAAATGTGTTGTTCTGAACCGCACAGCAGCAAATAATCTTTGTTTAGTTTCAGGAGGCACAGCGAGCTCTGAAACTAACACTTTCCTTGATAATTTCTTTTCTAATCTAACCTTCTGAAGGGCGGACCATAGATTCTCTAAGCTTTTAGGAACTAACAGTTCCTGCCTGGCTGACAGAACAGAAAGGTGACGGACCGCTGTCAGTCACCGTAACAGCTAGATTCTCTCCGGGGAATCAAAAGCTGAAAACTGTGTCAGGTTTGGCCCCTTCACGCCAACGGGGAAACCTCACAGTGTGAAAAACCAATGCCTGGTTTATCCACCTTCAGAAACTCTCCAGATGGAAGTTTTATTCTGAAACCTGGGTTCCAGTCGAGGCTTTGCCATCTTTTTACGGCTGGCGTGGTAAAGCGAGTTGACCTACACACATAGGTCACTCTGGTGGACTGTCCTAAGTGGATTCTCTCAGCAGAAGCCCCAAACATACCTGGCAGGTGACAGATCATCATCTCAAGGTAAAAGCTGGCTGTGTGTGACCTCGCTGTCTGACCAAAGCTGAGCACAGAACGCTTCGCCCTTCTGGTTAAAACCCACATTATTTAAGATAAAGTATAAGAAAGCTAACATATTTCTTCCTCCTTTCTCTGAAACTCTTCTTTGCAACTCTAAGATAAACATCCTCAAATGTCTGGTATCAAACATCTAATCTGACGTTTGTGTTTCTATTTAAGTGTGGTTAACAGTTAAGAAGTTAAAAGCTTGTTATTGTTGGTCCCAAAACTTTTTATAGGAAATTAATTGTTCACAATCAGGTGTACTCTGGTGATTTTGTTTGATTTGTAAAATAAACGATCGCATATTATGGTTCAAATCAACATTCACTGACTGAGAGTTACTTTTTGGGTCCATTCATTTTGCACTAAAGAAATGTTTACCTAAAATAAAAAGTGATCCCTTGCTAATTAAATTACTCTTATAACCTTGTATAAGGTATACAACAATGTATAAGATACAAGATATGGGGCAGATGTTACAAAATTTTTCTTTTCTTTCTGCTCCCTTTCATTTAATGATTTTGTGTTGTGTAGAAAATTGTTTTATTTTTTGATTAAATGTTTTGTTTTTAATTAAATGAAATAAATGAATAAATCAAATATGTTATGTGCTCACCTGGTTTTTATTATTTATTTTTTAAATTAAACACAGAAAGGTCTGATTTTAATGCAACTCGCTGAAGTAAGTATATTTAAAGACCGTGTAAAGTAAAATTAAATGTGTTTTGTGTCACTCGACAGAAATGTGCGTTATTAATCACCCATCTAAATTTGACTGATTAAAAACAGTGTTCATCTTATGTGGATGAACTTGGCAACACAAGGACTGATTTTCTAAATGAAACGTCAGGAACAGTTTGTATGTCACAGTAAAGAGCTCTGAGGTGAACAGGTCCAAGTAAATAAAATAAAATAACTGTATGGAAAATAAATTATTGTTGAATAGAAGCAGAGAAGTTGTGGAACGAGTGTGTGTTAGTTGGACGATGCTTTGTGAGATAATTGATTTGTTCTCTTTTTGCTGACTCAGCTTCAGAAAACTGAAATTTGAAGTGGTTAAATAAAATTAGAACATTATTAGATCAATAAATACAGCTGTAAAGTCTGTGGGACCAGCTGGAGGAAAGGAAGAACTAATTTATCAGAAACGAAGGCACAAGTTTCCTTAGATCATCCAGACCAGCCTCTGCAGCAGGTCTAGGACCCTCATCCAGGGGGGTCAGTTTTAAAGCCACAGAATCACAGAGAACGTCTCATGAAGTTTTCTGCTGAAGCGTAAAACAAAACGACACCATATTTTAAGGACTAATAGCTGCTGACAGCTTGTTTTGACAGCCTGTGATATTCCTGCTGTTTGGGTTTGATCTGTAACCTGTTCTTCCCTCACTCTGTCTAAGTGGGAGATTCAGAAGGAGTGGGGGGCCTGTGTGTGTGTGTGTGTGTGTGTGTGTGTGTGTG